TGCTTGGATTGGCATGGATGGATGGAAATAAATGTAAAAGGGTGTTATGCTAGTTGATGTGTGGACTGAGAAGGAGAATGGATACCAAGGCCAGACCAGGTGGGAACTCATGGCTAAGCCCTTGTTTGTGTGTGTGCATACGGACAGGGGAGGACAGAGGAGTAAATGCAAAGTCGTTTTGAGAGACATTGTTAAATGCAAATGTTTGGCTACATAGTGACAGTGCCTCTGATGCACTTCAGAGCTGGATTCCAATACAAACGTCACAATATAATGTATGCACTGTAAATAATTCTTAGTTTGTTTTATCCTGTTTGGAGTAGCAGATGTGTGGAGCTCACTGACAGAGGACATCACAGATTATGCCAGACAGTTAATCACAGAGAAGGATGCAGAAAAGGATGCTAAATAGACTTTCAAATCATTTCCTCTGATTGTTCAAACCTTTTGGCACCTATTCTATTGTATTATGAAGCAGACCCCACCCGTCTGGGACCTCAGCATTTTATAACACACAACCTTAATTTATAACATTTATTTGAAGATACTTGTTGGCTCGGGTGTGATGACTATAAAAGGCTGTTGTGATGGCCGCGATGCCATCGTTTGTTTTATATGGCTTTAAAAGTGACCTCATACAGGAAGGCGGTAAAACAAACCAGGCTACTGTTGACAGTTAAAGTAATATTCTGTGGATAATAGGATGACAACACAATGATAAATATCACATTCACAATTATTTGTTAGTGAATATTATGATAGAATTATATGACTGCATCCAGAGGAGATTCAGACATACATGTATGATTCCCAAGTAACCTGATCCAAAGATTCAAAGATTGTTGATTTTCCTGTTTTAGGTTAGTTAGGGGCCTTTGGAGTTCTTATACATTTAGCCTGTATGATTGTCTCAGCTGCTTTATGTACATTGTTGAATTTGATGCAAAATTCCTTGATATTTACAGGGGGGTACATTTCCTGTATGTAGACTCACTGAGCAGTGACCTGTGCCCTTTGGAAAGGCAGTCAGTCGATAAGGTGGAAAGTTCTGAACATTCAGCAAATTCATAGATGACAGAGCAGTGAGCTGGGCAAGATGGTTCAGAATAAAAGGAGCTGCTGCAGGCACAACAGATGACCTTTTGACCTGCACCCTCTGTCCGCTTTTGTAGCATATCAAACATGATCAAAGGCAAATTTGGAGATGAGAGCTAGCCGTTGAACGACCTGACTGGACCAGGAGGTTAGTCTGTCCGGAAGGTAACATCAGTGCTATTCCTAAGGCTTGCAACACCTTGGTGTGTGAATGACGCATCCTGGAGGATGTCTACTGAAAGTAAGCCATTCTGGTTGTGGAAAGTCAGCAGAAATAGAAAGCTTGTATGTTCAGGTGTTGAGGTCAAACCAAGCACATAGATGAATTGAAATGCTAGAATAAAAAAAGTATGTCACACCGTCTTATAATCAAAAATGAAAAATAAATACATATTTATAAATAGTATTTATGCATTCTCTTTTGCGACATGACACTTGGTCTGGCCACAACCTGGTTGGAGGGCTGTTTGGGAGTCTTAATGGTGCAGACAAAATGTGTTTTAACCATGCAGTTTAACACAAGATACAGATCATTAAGCCTAGATGAGAGTCATTTTTCTGCCGCTAATGATGGCTTGTCTTGGCTTGTATGTGTAACTAATGCTCTACATTGACCAAATTAGCATTACTGTAAAACAACCACAGTGGAGACTTTTTATCCAGTACATCTAGTAGTTTCCAATCTTTAGACAACATCTGCATTACTGTACTGAATGTAACATAGTAAGTTATTTAGTTTATGCTATGATTAGGTAAAAGGGAGCATTTTGCTACCAAATTGTCTCCAGTGTCAAATAAAGAGAGTTGTAGTCTTACATTTATTTTCATTTTGGAACAATGTCTGTGTCTTCGAGGGTCCCATTGGTCTTGTTTTGTTTCTTTTGGCTGGCCCTGCTCTGGCCTGTGTGACTGCTAATTTAAACAAAAAAAAGTTTTGGCTTTTGAGTTGAGCTACATTGTTACTCACATTTGGAAAAAGGCACTACCCTTCTTCTCATTCTCATCACACTGGACATACAGTGCAGAGTTAAAGGAAACCAGGGACACAATTTCAGGAAGTTTTCTTTGGCCTGCAGAGAAAACCAGAGAGGAGATTTTTCTGAGATCCATTTTTAGTAGTGTCAGAGGTTTTGGGGTGGGCGGTGGGGGTGGACAAGGAGTGCCTGGCTGAAACCACAACATGTGTGTTTTTGCGTCTTGGCTGGATGTGGTCTGGGTCTTAGGCATGTAGGATATGGTTTATGCTGTCCAGCTAACAGGTGCAAGTTAACTAACTAATGAATGGCTCGGAATTTCACAATTAGAAAAATATATGAACAAAGGTAAAATTTTAATTAGAAATTGATTTAAAAACAGCACAAATACTTAAGTTGTCACTTGGATATGTATCATTTTGATTTGGTGTAAGATTGGTAAAAGCACTCTTTTTATTCTACTAGCTTGAAAAACCCTTTAACCTTCCCTAACTGCTAGTAAACCATTATTCGGAGAACTGTACTGTAATGTGGTAACAATATAAATGTCCTCATGCATGTTTTGAATTCATTATGATTCCTTTGGTGAAAGTTAAAAGCTTGTACAGTCAGGAAGGATGAGTTCAGTAGATAGATAGATAGATA